CCCCCTGCATTTCCCCCTTCACTCTGTCTTAATACCCCTCCCAGAAAAAGAGGGCTAAGGTTTCAGAGAGATACACGGATACTCTCGGTGACAGCATAACGGCCTGTGGTTTTCTGTCCAGCTTCGCTCGGTCATGAGTGTACTTGTGGACTTGGGCGTTCGTTCGTTCGTGTGTATGTGTGGCAAGGGGTTTTACTCACTCCAGCCCTAGAGCTACGCTGAGCTTTAGAGCCACAGCCCCCTGCTGCTTTTCAGATTTGTGCTGTGTGTGTGTGTCTATCCTCCCACTCAACAAAGGCTTCTTGATACTGCTAGTCCTCTACAGGTCTTCTGAGTGAGGGGCCGGAGGCAGGGCCGGCGCTTTGTGATGTTCTCATAGGGGATTGTAATGAGTTGAGGATGGAGGGATAGTGTTATTTATGTATACACCGTTTTATTAAATTCAGGCATTTATGATTACTCTGATAGATGCTGGTGTATTACTTTTTTATTTTTTTCTTGTGTTGTGATTTTATGTATTTATTCATATTTGACAGATTTTTTTCATATTTTTAATTTGGCTTTTTAGCATCATTGTTGGCTCAGATATATGAATATTTATATAACTGATTAAAACATTTGGAAATCTACAATACCGTACAAAAGTTGTAGTTTTTTTTGAAAAATTTATATTTTTAGAAGGGAGTAATAAATTGATCAAAAGAATGCTGAAACAATATCACAGGTTGGCACAAAAATGTTTCTTGAGCACTAAATCAGAATATTAGAATGATTTATGAAGGATCATGTGACACTAAAGAAAATTCAGCTTTGCCATTACAGGAGTAAATTACATTTGATAATGTATTAAATGGGGGAAAAAAGTTATATTAAATTGTAATATTTCACAATATTCATGTTTATACTGTATATTTGATCATATAATGAGGCTTCTAAACATTTTAAAAGTTTAAAATGGCTACAAGCTTTTAAACGGTAGTGTTCATTTATATGAATATAATTAAGGTATTTAAATTTTTTTTGTCATCTACCATTTTTTTTTTTTTGTCAGAATAAAGTGACAGCACATTGCTTGTTTTGTTTGTTGTCATCCATTGTACATGACAGCATGATGTTTGTGCAGGATGTACCAGGTCTCCCTGTCACCATGTTATTGGACTGACTGCATCAGCACAGTCTCTTGGTTTAATAGTTCAGTAGCTGGCTACTAACCCCTGACTTTTCCATGTAGGCCTTTGTTTCAGTGGGCTGCTGGTAAACAAAGACCATTCTGTGACCTGAGGTTTTTGTGTGGCATTTGTCGACAATAGCAGCATTAGTGACCGTTGACTTCAAAAGAAATGAGGCATACTTTACTAAGATTGTTTTAAATAAATGGAGAAAAATATTAGGAAGAATTGAAATTGTGTTGTGAGAATATATCTATAGTTGGTCAGTTTCAATGTTGGTTTCATGTGTAATGGCACATTTTTATATATCAGCCTTTTATATAAGATCAGCTGTTTCTGTTGGTAAGAGAATGTTGTTGATTTTTTTTTTAAATAGAGAAATCAAATATTGAAAGTTTAAAAGTGTACTGTGGCTTTCCCAAACTATATTCCTGTAAGTAAAATAGCCTTGGATGCTGCCATACCATTAAAATAAACAAACCACCCGAAATATTCTAATGCAAGTTGCTTTTTGACAGAGTAGCTTCTCAAAATAGAAAAATATCCTGATTGGTTATCGTTACAATGTGTTTTTCCTTCTTTTTTCCATTATTGTCTTCTATTTGTTTCCTTTGTCTCAGTAAGGGCAAAATAGTAGGAAATAGGAACAAAAGATAATTGGACAGACTTTAAATGTAAGTCGAAGTTCCTCTTTCACCTTTTAGAGAAGGAGCAAAGGCCGTGGTAGGGCTCAAAGCTTAAGTGATTCTTATTTATTTTTTTATTTATTTAGTCATTTAGCAGACGCTTTTATCCAAAGTGACTTACAAATAAGGACAACAGAAGCAATCAAGTGTAGTATCAAAACAACTAAAAACAGATAAAACTAAAAGCTAAAACTTTATAAATACTACTTATACACATTTTAAAAAATAAAGAAATTACACAAATGCATACAACAAAATTTCAAAACTTAACATTTAAATGAAAAACAAACAATAAAGCTAAAAACAATTAAAAATATTAAAGAACAAAAGGTATAAGTGTATAATAATGATTCTAACATAACACTAAGCCAAACACCAAAAAAACAACTACATATATGTGTATGTACACACACATATATATATATATATATATACAGTGGTGTGAAAAAGTTTTTGCCCCCTTCCTGTTTTTGTAATTGTTTGTATATTTGTCACACTTAAAAGATTCGTTTAAAAGCGTTTGCGATAAATGGCAATGAGTCTTTCACAGGAATTTTGGCCCACTCTTCTTTGCAGAATTGTCCAATGGCTTTTACCTTGGAACTCTCCCAAGGATGCCGTTTTTGCCCAGTCTCTTTCTTATTGTTGAATCA